ATCATGAGATGCAAGATAATAAGCCTCTCTAAAGAAGTAGGGATCTGCCACTTTTGTTTAAGTAATACTTTTTGAATAAAGGTCTCTTTAGTACTCACTCATTCAATGTATCTACTAGTAACTCCAGACAAAAATTTATAGTTGTATGTAGCAATTAAAAAGACATACAATCACATTGAAATAGGGATTCAAATACAGAGTTTTATAGCAGTAAATCCCTTAACTTCATAAACTTCTGTGTTAATGCATTCAAGTGGTATTTCTAAGACAGACTGTCATGGTAGAATACTTAATTTTACTATATATCCTTCTCAGTCTGAGTGACATCATACTTTACTACTTAGAAGCTATATTTACATGTGGATGAAAGCTAAAAGTTCCTCGATTTTCATTCAATTCCCAGATAGAAATCTTTATAAAGATGAACATTTCTCATTAATTTATCTTCCTAAGTAATTGCTATCACACTAATCAATTTGTAGGGACTTCACCAGGGTTGCAACCTTCAATAAAGAAATCAGATACAGTATTGAACGCTGTGTAGATTACTTAACCAATCTCAATTGCTCTTAGATCAGTGAAACAAATACCAAAATGAAGTCAAGTGTTGCTTCATTAGTTATCTTTACTTTGAGTAGCTGACTAATCTCGTTCAACTGGACACTGATCTTTTTTCAATAGGAAAAACAGGAGGAGATGCCGCATGACACAGAAGCAGCAGCTGTGATCTACAGAGAAATGATACTGTAGTTAATTCTACAGAAGAGAGTCTTCCAGAAGAGGTCTACAAGCAACAGTCACATACATCAGAAAATATCCCATAAGCTGAAGATGACAGAGTGGGGAATGGAAAGGTGACAAAAAGCACATGGAAGACTCATGTGAGCATTCACATGAGGCTGTGATTTAGTAAATACGGTAGATCCTATTGGTTGCCTGCCCAACAGTCATTCCTCCTGCTTTCTTTGCTACCAGAATCTCAGTTTGTTCAACTGGCCACAACCCCTCTGCTTGAGGGGAGGGGAACCCTGTAGACTAAATTGCCATCTTCTAATCTTATTCTTTCACCTTTTTGTGTCAACATACTTGTTTTCAGTATGTTTGATAATTCAAAGACAGACTCATTCCACCTTTGTTGCCACGCCTAATGTGTTATTCTATATTTCCTTCTTTGTGCTGATGTCATTCAAAAGGAAAATATTAAAGCTTATGCCCTGAACCACTTCTAATATCTCTCTTCAGCAAATCAAGGCAATAAACCCCACTGCAGGCAAAATGAATCTTATTCTTCAATTGGGCAATAGATGTTTTGTTTAAAAAGATCTTTATAAATTAAAATTTTATGATTAAAATTATTTAGATACACTTACTGTATGATTCCACTGATATAAAGTTCTATGAGAGAGAAAGCAGATCGTTGGTTGTCTGGGGAGCAAGGTGAGGACAGTAGGGTGGAAGTAGTAGGATGGAGGGATTAAAAGGAGGGAGGGAGAAACTCTTAGGGTTGATGGATATATGTTCATTATTTTGATTGTGGTGATGGTTTCATGTGTATATACATATTTCAGAACTTATCAAATTGTACACTTTAAATATGTGTAGTTTATTGTATGCCAATTACACCTCAAAAAAGCTCTTAAAATTTTAAATACTAGATACAGAAAATTAACAATATATTATCTGTCACTTGATGACAGGGATATGTTCTGAGAAATGCGTTGTTAGGCAGTTTTATCACTGTGCAAACATCATAAAGTGTACTTAAACAAACCTACGGTATAACTCACCATATACTTAGGTTATATGGTAGTCTATTGCTCCTAGGCTACAAACCTGTACGTCATGCTTCTGTACTGAATACTGGAGACAACTGTAACACAATGGCAAGTATGTGTGCATCTAAACATAGAAAAGGCACAATAAAAATATAGCATTATAATTTTATGAGACCACAGTCACATATGCAGTCAGTTGTTGACCAGACCATCATTATGTGGCACATGACCGTATATTATTTGGAGGGAAACAAAGTTGCAGAATAGTATGCAAAGTATGGTTTTGTTAAAAAATACGTACTTGTGGAAAGTTTCTGAAAAAATACTAAATTGTTAACAGTAGGATAGATTTGCCTCTGCAGGATAGATTTAAGGGACACTTTCATTTTCAACGATTGATTGATTCAATTTCACAAACCTCTACTGAGCACATACTGTGTGCTGGGCACGGCAAGAGGGCTGGGGCATACGGCAGGGAAAACCCATACAATCTGCTGCTCTTCCAAACATACATTCTTACACAAATAAGAATATGAAATAATGACAATCATAAGGGGGAAACAAGCAGTGTACTGTTTATATACGCCTGTTGTACTAAATGGATTGGTTGGGTGAAGGCCTTTCTAAAAAGTTGACATTGGAGCTGATTCCAGTATGATCAGAAGGAGCCCTCCGTGATAACATCTAGCAGAAAATTTTATAGGCCTCAGTGAGGACTTCAGATTTTATCCCAGATGCAATGAGAAGTCAATGGAGAATCCTTTGCAAACAGGTGAAGTGACCTGACATTTTGAAGATGACTTTGGCTACAATTTGGGTCAAGAGGCTAAGAGTGAAAGGCAGCAGACAGTGAGTTATTGCAAGCGAAAAAGGGTGGTGGTTGACCTGGGGTGTAGCGTGTGATGTGGAAGAGTGAATGGATTTGGGCACCAGTTTCAGGGAGAGCTCATATGATTTACTGATGGATTTTATTATGTATGCATATTCATAAGTATGTTTTCTTTCAGTTAGGGAATATTTATTTTGTTATCGGAACCTTTTAAGGCTATAAAGCTTAATTTATTTACTTTTTTTGAAAGAAAGACTTTATTAAGAACGGAAAATAATGAATTTGAACACAATTTTCTTTAAACAGTGACTTAAAAGCACTGAGTTTAACTCAGACTTTTTCAATGTTAAAGTTTTTTTTAAATTATCACGACTCTTTAAGCTTACAATCAAGTGTATCTCTGAGTTGGAATCAGCTAACTGTCAATTTTCAGATAGACTGGCTGGCGTGTTTGCTAAATGTCCAATTCCTACGTATGAACTCAAGAGATGTATCAGGTACCCTGTTTCAGGTTTTCCAAAACACATTTCTCAGTTCCTTTATATGACTCTAATTCTGTACCAATGAAACTTAATTCAGGATGCTTTACTTAACTTATATCAACTATTCTACCCACGATCTTAAAACACACTTCTTGTACCACATCCAATCTAAACAGAGCATTCATATATGTACGGAAATATCACTAATATAGATTAGAGGGGTTGGCAAACTACAGCCTGTGGCCTATTTTTGTATGGCTTCTCAAGTAAGAATGGTTTTTACATTGTTAAAAAGTTGTTTAAAAAAATAGGCTATTCACTCCCTGGCCCTTCACAAAAAAAGTATGCCCACACCATTAGAGAGATATGACCAAACGGAACTAGTGAGTCAAACAAGTTTAATATAGATAAGATTGGTAATCTAAAGTACAACTAAAAACAAGCCAATGACTTAACTAACCAACTTGCCAGGTTGGGATAACTAACTAGATATAGATCAAGGGAAATGCATATAACAGGCATTTCTTAAATGCTTGAGATTGACCCTCTATTCACCTGTCCCTCCTCCTTACAGGGCCATCTCATTACTCCTCCTAGGGAATAGGTTCCCCAGTGACAGTGAGCATGTTTACAATATTCTTGGGTACTTCAAGTATCCAAGACAATGTGTCATAGGTTCTAGTTACATTTTATGAACAATCATTGTGTGGCTGAATTGAGTTGCTATTTTTGATGATTTTAACATCCTGGCCCCCTCTCTTTTCACCGGGCACATAAAAAAGCAAATTTATTGGCAATTCAGCGGTTACACTCAGTTTAACACAATTCAGGATTGAGATCGCATTCAGATAAAATTAACCACTGCCCCAAGCTGCTGAATTTCATTAATTATGCTCATCAATGCGCACAATGCAAATGAACTTTCGTGTTGTTCCTTACTTTCAGGTGGACCAATCCTAGGTAGAGCAAGTGCATTAATAACCCTTTTCAACCAGCAAATTCGACCACCCCACTAAAAAACGAAAATAAAAACTAAAGAAACCAACCAACCAACCAACCGAAGAATAACAATAAACACCAAAAAATGAAAATCGATTTCGATAATATTGGTTAATATTATGTGGATATTCCTACATACCTACAAGGTAGGAATCACTTCCACCATGATAAAAAAGAAAAGAAAGAATGAAAGAAAAAGCTTAGGTAGGAGATAGTGGTTAAGAGAGAAAGCCTGATATCCTTGCCCTGTTACTTGAAAAGTGTACGGCTTTGGAAATGTTACTTCTCCAAGCCTCAATTCTTTAATCTATAAAACAGAGGCAACAATTGTCTCCACCCCAGTGGACCAATCCATTATTTGTTATCATTACATTAAGTAATGATAATGCATGCAAAGAAGCAACGTGCCTGGAGGAGGGCACACACTCTGAAGAGATTACTTAAATACCATTTCAGAACATAGTTGTTGATACTGAATTCATTCTAGCCATCCCTAGCTACACAGTCCAAAGACCTAATGAAAAACAAAATTCTAGTTCTTCAGCTCTGTGTTTCCAGAGATGGCTTTGAAGCACTTCATGATTAAAAACAACAGCAATTTTTATTTATATACTATTCATGGCTTTTCTACACTTACCTTCTTGCCCTATTTGCATCATAATCTATGACGTTGGTTAGAAGGGGTTGTTACCCTCTATTACGCAAGAATGAGAAGAGGCTCAGAGGTTATCTCACTTGCTTACAGCATCACTGCTGTGATTATGTTCAAAGATTCAGATATGAATGCAAATTTATCTCACTCCCACTATCAATCCCCACCCCAATCCTCTATAACTCAGCTGATGGTAAGATCAATTTCCCCAGATTTAGATTCCAGAGGAACAATCATTCCTTTTTCTCTCCGCAGAAACTTACTGGTCGGGACCGGATTTCTTTGGCGTAGAGAGGTTGTAAGAATTCTGAGTCTCCTTCTAGCCTGAGACCTTTTTCTGTGATCCTCAAGTTTCCCATTCCATCCTGAAATACAGACAAAGGGAAAATGTGATTAGCCAAAATTTCCAAATATCCCAGGGTTGCCAAAATTGAAATAGAATTGTTGCCTTTTTTTTTTTTTTTTTGAGGGTATGGGATGAGAGGGAGTACAAACACATAAAATACTAGGTGGCATTGTTCAATGAAATTATGCATATCACCCTTTTTGCTCACTTATTCTGAGAAATTTCTGTCCCAAGCAATCTGTAATGTCCCCTAGTCATTGATGTGCACTGATGCAGGAGGTCCTTTTTGCTAGGCAGCACCAAATGAATGGAGGCAGAAGGTGGGTGGGAAGAGAGAAAAGGATGATTCTCCAGGTCAAAATGAAAGATCTTGTTTCCAAAACTCTATGCCGAAATTTCATACTGGCAGTCTGTGGGCCAAATCTAACCGTTGGACCTAGCTTGTTTGAATCACAAAACATTTAAGAAGTCAAATTAGTTACTAACATTTTAAAAAATATTTTATTATGGAAATAATACATGCAAAAG